GATGACTTTTGCCATCGTCATCATCAGCAACATCATTACCAGCATCAACATCAACATCAGCAACATCATCATCATCATCGTCATCATCATCGTGATTATTTTTGCCATTATTATCATCACTGCCATCATCATTATTATTGTCATCGCCATCATCACTATCATCACCGTCATTATCATCGTCGTCATCGTCACCACCACCATCAACATCCGCGTCATTCACACCATTATCATCACCATCATCATCATCATTTACATACGCATCATCATCATTATCATGATCTTTATCATCACCACCACCTTCATTCTTATCATCATTGCCATCACTATTATCACCACCATCACCATCATCGTCATCGTCACCGCCAACACCATCAACATCATTGTCATTTTTTACCATCACCATCACCATCACCATCACCATCGCCATCGCCATCACCAACAACACCACCATCACTATGACCATCGCCATCACCATCACCATCACCATTGCCATGGTGATGATGAGGATGAGGATACGGATGGGGATGATGATGAGGATGATGATGACGATGATGATGATGATGATGATGATGATGATCGTCGTCGCCATCATCGTCAAGGGTGTTGTGTGTTTGAGGTTCGGCGACCGCGGTTCGACGATCGAGGTCCGATGACCAGGGTTCGAGGATCATGGGGCCGAAACTCGATGATGATGAGGAATCACGAGGACGAGGAGGAGGAGGCGAGTCATCGGGGCTTGGGAAATGAGTATTAAGGTATTTGCATGTATTCCATCCTTTCCGGCCCCCAGGAGCGCTCTGCTCGCCGCGGCTGCATCTCCAACATTTTTTCCCCATGTTCTGAGATGGGGTTCTTGTTATTACTTGGACGCCTCCTACTCCCTCTCCTCCTTCCTCCTCCTCTTTCCTCCTCCCCTCCTGTCGGACTTACTCATATTCAGACATGCTCATACTCAGACTTACTCATACACAGACTTACTCATACTCAGACTTACTCATACTCAGACCTACTCATACTCAGACTTACTCACACTCAGACATACTCATACACAGACTTACTCATACACAGACTTACTCACACCCAGACGTACTCATACACATTCACTCATACCCAGACTTACTCATACACAGTATTAGTCATACTCAGACTTACTCGTACCCAGATTGTGAGGATGTCTCAGGCGGGGCGCTGGTTTCAGCACCCCCAAGGGGAGCCGCCAGGGGTGGTTGCACGGGCTCGTTCGCGGCCATGTTGTGGGGATGTCTCAGGCGGTTTGCTTGTTTCTGGGCCCAACATCCTTCGCTTGGAGAGCAGATTGTGAGGATGTCTCAGGCGGGGCGCTGGTTTCAGCACCCCTAAGGGGAGCCGCCAGGGGTGGTTGCACGGGCTCGTTCGCGGCCATTTTGTGGGGATGTCTCAGGCGGTTTGCTTGTTTCTGGGCCCAACATCCTTCGCTTGGAGAGCAGATTGTGAGGATGTCTCAGGCGGGGCGCTGGTTTCAGCACCCCTAAGGGGAGCCGCCAGGGGTGGTTGCACGGGCTCGTTCGCGGCCATTTTGTGGGGATGTCTCAGGCGGTTTGCTTGTTTCTGGGCCCAACATCCTTCGCTTGGAGAGCAGATTGTGAGGATGTCTCAGGCGGGGCGCTGGTTTCAGCACCCCTAAGGGGAGCCGCCAGGGGTGGTTGCACGGGCTCGTTCGCGGCCATTTTGTGGGGATGTCTCAGGCGGTTTGCTTGTTTCTGGGCCCAACATCCTTCGCTTGGAGAGCAGATTGTGAGGATGTCTCAGGCGGGGCGCTGGTTTCAGCACCCCTAAGGGGAGCCGCCAGGGGTGGTTGCACGGGCTCGTTCGCGGCCATTTTGTGGGGATGTCTCAGGCGGTTTGCTTGTTTCTGGGCCCAACATCCTTCGCTTGGAGAGCAGATTGTGAGGATGTCTCAGGCGGGGCGCTGGTTTCAGCACCCCTAAGGGGAGCCGCCAGGGGTGGTTGCACGGGCTCGTTCGCGGCCATTTTGTGGGGATGTCTAAGGCGGTTTGCTTGTTTCTGGGCCCAACATCCTTCGCTCCTACATATCCCACTGCCAACTATCCTACAACATATGCACATGTGGGAAGCTCCAAAGCTACCACGGGCTGAAAAGGGGAAGGCCTGGCAGCTGAGGAGGGGGGATGAAGAGGAAGAGGCTCGCATTCAACCATACTCAAAGCTCACTCTGACTCATACGCAATCACTCGCATTAGGGGTCACTCGTTTTCGTCGGCCCTGTCGCCCACGTGGACGCGCTGTTGTAGTCGACCGTTCATGAACAGACGCTCGCCACGGCATGACATAAAACATGAGATGCACATATGGGGAGCTCCACGCAGTGAGTAATTGTCAGAACGCGCCCCTGTACAGGTCAGGGGGCTGACTTTTGACCTCAGGGCCCAGCAGCCTTCGCGTCGCGAAAAAAAATCAGGACGGGTGGTTTCTGGCCGATTCGGCCTCTCGGGGCCCTTTG